ACTTCGATTCAATGTTAAATACGTAATGCCCATGTCGTAAGCTTCATAGAAAAGTTTAATCTTTATGTTTGCCCATTGTCGTAAAAGAATACACCTTGTCGCAATCGCCAAGCTGTCCATTTGTTGTGCACACACACACACACTCGCTGCTTTGCGCGTTGTTTTTGGCATTTTTATGTGCTCTTGTTAAACTTGCTGTTAAACTTCAACTACAAGTGGCAGCGTTTTGGCCGCAGCTGCAGCCTCTTTAAAAACAGGCGCAAGCACCCCTCAGATCCACTGAGCCGACACACCCTCCACACCCGCTTCACCTACGTCAAAATAGCCATGCGACTATAACTTTAATTGCTGTGCCCATCATTACAATCCTGCGCTACAGTTGCCCCCGCTCGCCCAGCGCCCCCTTGGCTGCCACTTGTCATGAGCAGGCGCCTCCTTTGGGGCGTTCGCTCGCAATTATTTACTTGAGCTGTAAAACTGTAGTTAAGACCAAGTCAACTTGAAAGCATTTGAGAAAGTTTAATGCTTAAATTATGAGCTACCCTAACCGGCACCACCCTACTTCAACTCGTTTCGCGTTGCCTCGTCTCGTTTGGCTTGGGCCAAAAGAGTTGACAGTCACTTTTGTTGAAAATGAGACAGTAATTGCCCAAAATGTGCATGACTGTAAGTGCTGGCACTCGGTTGGGGGAACGGGGCCAGCAACTCGCTGGCTCGCACATTTTAGGCTGGGTTGGGTACGGGATGCGGGGTGGTAGGGTCACTCAAGTTTTTCCATACATATTATTTTGTGCTATTTTCAAAAATTGAAAACTTTTCAGTTCTGCGGGTCCCCCTGCCTGTGTCATATTGTTGCGCTTGAGATGACGACTACTTAAATTAAAGCGTAATTTAATTAATAATCCCATTTGGCCGCGCTGTGCCAAGCTGTGAGCACACGCCTTAGCGGCTGTGGGATTCAGCCAGGCGATCAGCTTTAACCCCCCACCAAGCCAGTGTGTGTGCATGTATGTGTGTGTGTGTGTGAGTGAGTGTGTCTGGCAACGGAAGTTGCAAAATATGAAAATGACTGCGCAAGCGGAAGTGCAGTTGTGGCATGCCACATGTGTGCCATGTAGCAATACCAAAGGCGGCAGGGGGCAACAGGGATTAGGGCGCAGCCATATACAGTCTGGGGCACAGGTCCTCGTCTGGCTTCGTATTGGCATTGGCAGGCGCCATTGTCTCGCGCCTGTTGTTAATGGCAACACTGCCACAAAAGACGACAAAAGCGGTGGCAACACGCGTTGCCCTTCTGCCAGCCAAACAGCCAGCCAGCTAGTCAGCTAGAGTCGGGCTCTGATTGACTTTGCCTAAATAGTCTTTGTGGCCATTAAAAGCGCCAGCAAATTGAGCGCCAGCCACACAATAATGCAAACTATTGGGCTTTGTCTGAATGGTTCCGCATCCGACATGCATAGTTTCCTTCTTTTTTTTTTTTTGGGCGGTAGCATTCGCAATTCAAGAACAATAACAAGTGTGAGGCGGCCCAAAGAAAGTGGTTAGAGGAAACTCGGATAGGTTATAGTTCATTTTAATCCTAATATTGCTTATAAACAACTCTATCTGAGCTCAAATATTGCTAAGAACATAAAATTTCAGGCTAAAAATACGAAAATACTTTTACTTTATTTGAGATTTAGGCCCTAATACGTGTTTTAAATATTCAAAGTACTATTTAAGCATTTTCTAAAAAATGGTAATTTTTTATTGAAAAACGTGATGAAATACTTAAACACTTTTGCTTGGATTCGAACCTGTGCGCAAATTATAAAAGAAAAAGTCCATACCAAACCTTTTGTATTCGAATCTATATTTTGGTAAGTTTTTGGCGTTTTATAAACTGGTTTATTTTGAACTACGATGCAATTTTCGGCAACCTACACTTTGGTGTTAAGCACTTGCTATTCAAGCCAATTTTCAGAGCTCTGACTATGTTGACCATTTCCTTATTTTTATGATGCTTGAAAGAATTTTTAATTTTCATAAGAGTTGTGCACACACACACACACACACGCAAGCCCAAGCACAGTCGGGCGCACACACACTTGGGACAGTCAGGCTTGTGCGACTGAGAAGCTAAAAGGCCAGAGACGAAAGGACTTTTCATAGCTTAATTTTTATTGCACAGGCGAAAGTGCTGCTGCCACCTAAAAACCCTTGCAGCCAGCTACCAGTAAGTCCTAGTCCTATAGCTATCTATGTGTGTGCGTAGGTGTGGCTTATGTTAATGTTTTGCCAGCTTGCGAGCAATTTTAATGAAAGTTGCTTGCCATAAATTTTAATCACATTTTTTGTTGTCTTTTTTTTGGGGGGGGCAAAGATTCTACCTGAAACCATGCAAATGCCACAATCACATGCACAAGCGTATTTAAAGCATGTACAAAAAATGGCAATATTTAAAATTCAGTGGCATTTAATGGTTGTTTGAATGGTTCAGCGATTCCTAAACAACAACAATAACAACAGCAGCAATTGTGTTGCTGTTGCTGGCGCCCCGGAAAGCGCAACAAGCGTAATAAATGTGCAGCGTCATACAACACCAAAAAGTATGCAATAAATTTCACAACAATCAACTTTGATGCATGTAGGTGAACACGTACACACACACACACGAACAACAAAAATAGCAGCAACAAAAAATACTGCAAATACTGCAAATAAAAATAAAACGCAGCCAAAATGCTTGTGCACTGTGGAAAAATAAAACCGCGCCACAATCATCTAGCAGCATACATCATCATTTTTAGTTCTTTCACTTTTTATTTGTATTTTTATTTTATTTATATATATATATATATGTATTTTTTTTGCCATTCTTACTCCACCGTTTCCGTTACACCACCCAAAATAAAATATTAAAAAAAAAAAAAAAATACACATAATAAACACGAGTAGTAGAACAATTTTTGCAACATTTAGCACGGCTCGACATTTCTACAATTTATACACAGACACTTCCTGGGCTAGAGAAGGGGCCTGCTCAGGGAATTGGTCGCCAACAACACGAGTCATTAAAATGATTCACTCAACTGTAGTCTGTATGTGCCTCGTATTATTGCAGCTCTTCTCGCTGTGGTTGATTTTCCATTTCGCTGTTTGCTTTTTTGCCTGTTAAAGGGGGGAAGGGCGGAGCAGAGCGTAGCACAGTTTCATTAATTGGCCAACATCAAATCAGGCAACAGCAATAACAACAACAGGAAACACTCAAATGGCCCGAAAGTAAAAAAAAAAATAGCTATGAATACTTTATTTACGTTAGCTGCAGCCTTTTGCTATTCACTTTTCACAGATTAACCAAAAAACAACACAAAAACACTTCTTGTCCTCGTTGACATTTAGAAAAGTGAAAATATTTGTCATTTTTACTCACCGCTGAAATTTGATTATTTTCATGCAGATTTATTTATTACATGCGAAACTCGAAACCTCAACATCAACAAGCCATCAATATTTCATTCAATTTATGGATAAAATAAAAAAAAGTAAATTACATTGTAAAGGTTTAGGAACGCATATCTTTGATTACCTTGTTAGCAAATATTTGACTTTACTCCAAAATATAATTAAATTAATTATTTTTGGATTACATTGATTATAAAAATTGTTGAAAAGTTTTGCAAACAGAATATTAAGTTTCTCAGTGCCAAACATTAAAAAAGTACTATTGCTTGGCCCAGGTACCTATCGACACCTAACACAGTTATCGATTAGTAAAAGAATGCATAAGGAAACTTGTACAATACTCTTCTCAACTCAGTTTGTTTTAAAGCAAACTTTTCCAAGCCCTTCGCGCCGAATTTTGCGCTATAGCTTCACAAAATGTTGTAAAAAATAATAATTAAAAACGAATGTGAAATAAAATCTGGGCGCAAAAGCGATGTGACAATTTTTATCGCATAAAAACGTGCTCCATAAATAATGAAACGATTAAAATTAAAATCTGCAAATATTTTATACATACAAATGTGAAAATGTTGTGCAAATGAATTGTTTTCACATATCGTGCATATTTCATGCGAGCATTTCCCATAAATATTCTTCAAATTGACTCATATATAAACATATTAGTGCTGAAAAATATCTAAAGGAAGGCACCTGATTAATTGGAGCGCATTCAAGCGTTAATTGAAACCCAATATTAGACGAATAATACGGGAGAAGAGCAAATAATTATGTGACATGATGTGGGGCATTTGCGTAATTAGAAAATACGAAACCCAAATTGTGTTGAAATCATTAAATTCACATATTTTCAATTTTAAGTATTAGTAAAATCTTTATGTATTCATACAAAATTGTTGAGTATGTGTATTTATTATTTAATAACCTGGCTTTGACTGCCGGAATTAGCTTGTTTGGGCTACATATTTCATTGTTTATTGGTCATATAAAAATATAATGCACGGGCTCTCGACCCAGTTTATGTAGCTTTATATGTGTCATTCACATTAGCTTAATATGCCGGAAAAGTGCGCCCGATATTTAATAGACCCCCGGCAGATTCCAAGCAGTCGCATTCGCAGCAAACACTGTCATAACTTTTATACGGCCTTTAAAATCATATAAAAAATTGTGTTAATTTTCATGTGTTGCTGCTGCCCTACGCACCAGGCCCACCTACCCCACACCACCCCACCCCTTATCTCCCCTACTCGAGCATAAAAAAGGTAAATTCTGGCCATTTTATGGACCAATGAGCATCATGTGGATACGACCATTAAAGTGAAGCTACAAAATGTGAGAAAGAAAAGCCAAGCACACTTTGACTTTCAAATTTATTGATAAATCTAAGATCTTAGGACTACTTACACATGCGTTCGCCCTGGCCATAAATCATTAAAGCTGTTTTTTCTTTTGTTTACCTTAAAATTGCTTACATATTATAGAAGTGTGCTCATGATGATGATGATGGGTTGGAAGGCTGATTTATAAGCATGTACTCAAAACCTAATTCAGCATTTTATATAGGAAGTTCTTTAATAGATTTAAAGTCTTTGGAACTGTTGTTGTTTAAGTTGGAGAATACTTTTATCTAAAACCCATTTTAAATCGGGCTTCACAATAGTTATTTTTGGCTTTTAGTTTCGTCTTATAAATTATAATATATAAACATTTTTGAACCGGTTCAAACTTCGTCTTTACTAGTATTGTCTTATTCATTGCTAATCTTAAAAACTAAACCCATTTAAAATCGGCTTTGATTGGTTTAACCCTAGAAGTAAGCATCATTTTCGTTAGCCAGGCTTAGATGGATTACCCACGATTCACTCCCATCTAATGGCATCCACACTCCTTGGCCACCGTCTTTTGGTATTTGGTTAAGTCTATGATATCCTCGTTTATGTATCGCAATATGGTTATGGCGCCCAGAACAGTGGGCACACAGCAGGGCTTGGGCAGATGCGGCTGCTTCAGATGCATCAGGGTCTGAACAATCGCATGATTCGTGGCATTCATTTTGGTGCCGAGCGGAAAATTGCAGCCGCCGCCGCAAAAGTACGCCTCAAACTTCTTGGGCGCTATGACCCAATTGTGCATTTGCAGCTCCTTAAAGTCCACTGTAAAGTTGAGACGCTCGCAGGACTGCGGCGCCTTGAATACCTCCGGCGGGGGCCGGACGTGACCAGTTGGCGGCAACATGGCCCTGCGCTTGTTAAGGTCGCGCTTGAAACGCAGCTTTTGTACCTTAACCAGCAGCTCGGGCCCATTGAAATAGCCCACAATGAAGGGCTCCAGATTGGAATCCGCTGCCTGGGGCGCCACTAGACCGGCCCCCAAGGCACTTACCCGCGCCTCGCCCAACGAGATGCGCAACTCGTGGCGCTGTGGGCTCTTGTTGAGCAGCCAGGCGCGCAGCGTCTGCGTCAGATTGAACTCTAGCCAGCCCTTGTAGTGGGTTGTGGTGTTCACTGAGTGCAGGATGCGATAAACAGGAGCACCATCCTCCATAAAAGCCTGATGACTGTGGATCCTTCTATATACGGAAACTGTGAAATTCTGGCGCTGCTCCTGCCAGCTGGGCTGCTTATAGATGCGCAGCATGGCCTGCACCAGCGTCAGATCCACGGGCACGTCATTCGTATTAAACGTGATGTGCAAATCCTGCCGAGAGTTTATCTCCCCCTCCTCCTTCTCACCCTGCTCCAGTGACTTGAGGCGACTGGAGAAGGTCAAAATGCTGTTGCAGCTAGCTATCTCCTGGCGATCCTCACGGGTCACTAGTATATCGTCCTCTAGCGAACGCTTGTGTCGCTGCTGCAGCACTTCCTGCGGCTCCTGCTCCTCGTTGATCTCATTGTACACCTCAAGCAGGAACTTTGTGGCCGACGTGTGCAGCTGCTTGGGCTGTGCCATGCGCCTGGGTCTGTCGCCCAAATCCAGCAAATCGACCATTTCCAATTGTTCAGCAAGAGTTGTTGGCTCCATGTTCACATCGCCTGTTACGTAGGTGGTGCCCAGGACGCCCAAATAGCTGGAGAGTAGCACCAATGGGAGTAACTGCAACATTGTTGAGTTGTGTGTCGAGTGTGCAATAAGTAACTGAATAGCCTTGTTTGAAAGGTCTGTATTTTATAGGCAAACAGGTAGTAAGCGACGGAATATCTAGGTAGAGCACAAGCACAACCCTTTCGCAGAGACAAAGAAGAGGAGAACTATGTTAAAATCCCTCAGGTGAAGTGCAGGCTTTAAGGGATAAAAGATTAACGCCAGCCCATATACATGTGGGTAGGTTTAAGCCATTCCTAGTCAGCCTTAAGGGTTTTTTGTACCTAGAGCTCAGTTATTTCTTGGATAAGTTGAGCTAACGACAAGATAGCTAAAAAAGTCGTTAGAATTGTTATTTATTTATTGATCTTAACAGTAAAATATCATATATAAAGTTAAGTTCTCCCAGAAAACTCTTATTATAACTCTCTCTTTCGCCCTTTCTTCTTCTAGGCGTCTTGCAAATCAACAACAGTCGCGAAGAGGATCAGGGCAAATACGAATGCGTTGCGGAGAACTCTATTGGAACGGAGCACTCAAAAGCCACCAATCTGTATGTGAAAGTGCGTCGCGTGCCACCCACATTCTCGCGCCCACCAGAGGCCTTGAGTGAGGTGATGTTGGGCTCCAATCTGAATCTATCCTGCATAGCCGTCGGCTCACCCATGCCGCACGTCAAGTGGATGAAGGGTAAGTGTGTGCGATTGACATTTGCCCTGGCCCTATCCAAAGATAATCTCTCTCATTCTATGTGACAGGCGCACAAGATCTGACGCCGGAGAATGATATACCCATAGGTCTAAATGTGCTGCAGTTGAATAATATACAGGAGAGCGCCAATTTCACGTGCATAGCCGCCTCCTCGCTGGGCCAGATCGAATCGGTGTCCGTGGTCAAGGTGCAATGTGAGTGCAAGCAGCAGATTGAACTTTAGTTCAAATTTTAACTGATCGCTTTCTCTGTTTCCCTCTAGCTCTGCCCACGGCGCCTACGGATGTGCAAATCTCTGAGGTGACCGCCACTTCGGTGCGTCTGGAGTGGTCGTACAAGGGGCCCGAAGATCTGCAATACTATGTCATCCAGTACAAGCCGAAGAATGCGAATCAGGCCTTCAGCGAGATCAGCGGCATCATAACCATGTACTATGTGGTCCGTGCCCTGAGTCCATACACCGAATACGAGTTCTATGTGATAGCTGTGAATAATATTGGACGCGGTCCGCCCTCGGCTCCGGCGACTTGCACCACGGGTGAGACAAGTGAGTATGCCCGGCTACCGAAAGGAGTTCACTTAAGGATAAACCCACTAACTGTTACTCTTCTTCTTCATCTTCTTGTTTACGTTTATTTTATTTTTACCATTTTAACCACACGCTGCCAGGATTTTTTCAGACATTTTTGCAATTTGATTTTCTAGTTGATTTTTTTTCGCTTGAGTTTTTATGTAAACTGCGGTACTCACCCTTTTCTCGTTATGTCTCTCTCTCCCTCTCTCCTCTCTCTCTCTCTCTCTCTTATTTTCACTTTTTCTTGCACGCTTTCCCCGCATCTCAGGCGATTACTCATTTGGTGGCACAAGTAAGTATCCTCTTAGACTCTTCTGGGCAACAAAATTTTAGGGCCAAAACAATTTCAATAACAATTCTTGAGCGGCATTCACATAACATTAGCCTTTCCCCCACTCACCCTCCACACCGCCGCATTACCCTTTCTTTGCACGAGTTTCGCTTGGAATCAAAGGTAAATGCAATGTTTAAAAAAAAGAAGCGTTGCATACGCAGCTGCCTCAAGCCCAGACACAGGCGCACACTAAATCTGTTGATGGTTATGTGTGTGTGTGTGTGTGTGTGTGTGTGTGTGTGGGTGTGTGGGTGTGTGTGTGTGTGTATGCGTGTGTAGAGGCAGCTGCCTCACGTCGCCTAGACGTCCTCCACCACCACCTACTCTCCTCTGAATGTGGCTGGCAACGCATAAACTTTGCATTGTTATGCGTTCATATGAATGCGCATCAATGTCGTTTCTCTGCTTACAAGTGCCATGCATATGTATGTGTGTGCGTGTGTGTGTGTATGTGTGTGTACATGCAACACCGTTTTAGCCATGGCAATTGCGCGTAAGCAAGCGCTGCCCGTTTCGTTTCGCCCTTCTCTCTTCTGCGGCTATTTTGGCATGTCTGCCAATTTTTTGGGATTTTTTTGTAGCTTGTCGTATAAAAGTTGAAAACTTTTATTGCCGCAATTATGCTTATCGCTTGCCCAATATCGTTACGAAATATTATTTCGATAGCAAACGTTTACGGCCAGCAGCAACAATGGCAGCAAACCAGAAATAAAAAGAAGAACAAGAAAATGCGAAAAAAAAGAAGAAAACTAACAACATTTTTGAGAACGCAGCAGCAGGTCGCACGCATCGGATAATGACACGTGTCAGCACGGTTAGGTTCAGTTAGTGTCGGCTTAGGAGCTTAGGTAGCAGCTGGCAAAGCCGAATTTATGGTCTGTAAGTGCAACAATCGAGTGCCATAAACAGCAGACAGCTTAAGGAGGCACGAGCATCAGATGGAAGGTACCTGAATACATAACTGCATAGAAGGTTCTGCCTTAAGATGTGCCTACTAGCTGCCAAAAGGGCTTGGTCTTGTTAAAATATATAAGAGCTGCTTAATGTGGTTAGAAGAACTTTATCAGGTTGCATTTTAAATTAACCAATTGTTCATTTCCCATTCCTTTATAAAGTTGTTCGCGTGTTTTAAATGATATTTATGAGATAGCAAATTCCTGATTAACTCTATTTTTTTTTGACAACTCCATAAAGTATATGCATATAGACCCTTAAAAAGTCATGCTCAGATCTCTAACAGAGCTGACGACTTTTTTTCGGAGAAAAAGGCGTCCTGGCTCAAGTATACACAGTTCATGTACAAATTTTTTATAAAAGCTAATCTATTTTACGGCAAGTCGCAACGCTACTTTTACACGCTTTTCGTAATGCAAGCGCAGGGTAAAATTTAAATCCTTAAATTACTACGACCATTTTCCATCTATTTCAAGATTCATTTGACGTTTCAAGTGTCTTACATGCACATGGCCTATTATCATCTATTTTGGTTATATTATAGATTGGAATCTGTTACTTATGCTTTTCATTAATTTAAATGAGACTTTGCTTGAGTTGATCGCATCAGACAGGGTCTTAACAATTTGCACGCAAGCCGGGCAGCTGTTGGTTCCTCTCAATTCGCAGCAATTATAAAGATATGCAGTATGTCCTGCAGGACTTGTCACTCACTCTCGCTCTCTCTTTCTCTATCTATCTGTCTCACTCACTCTCTCGCTTTATATGTCTCCATTGTGTGCACTCAACCTTTGGCTGAAAATCCTTGCTATTGAAGTAACTGCTGTCTTGTATTGCAATTTGGCTATAATGTATACAACTAATATGGCCTAATACATTTAAGTTTAATGCGCACACAAACACCTACACACACGCACACACACCAATACACACATACAAAAGTGTGTTGGCAACTCTTTAACAGCTCCTTTCGTCATGTAATAGGTCATGGGGCCTCAGCACATGGTTCCGATGTATGGCGTTGTGTGTGTGCGTGCTTGCGTGTGGGCCTGTGTGCATGTGTGTGTGTGTGTGTATGTGTGGGAGGCTGCTAAGAATTTAGTGCTATGTGCTATAAGCAGACAGCAGTAGGCGTGAGCAGGCATGCAAGGGATACATATTAATGGAGCGTATCCGTATGTAATGTATATGCTCTTAAATGCAGCTTACGTGACGCTGCCACACGATGCACAGAAGCAAAAGGAGCTGCCAGGATAACTGGCAGCCAGGCTTCGCTTCGGTCAGGATGTCTCTGTGTGTGTGTGTGTGTGTGTCTGCCCAGTCGCTTGCCAGGCCAAGCTATTGCAATTTTTGAATGCCCCATGTGCTGCATGCAAATCTTAGCCTAGACCCAGCAAATGGCAATGGCAGACGCTTCTATCCGTGCAGCGCACACACACACACAGACACACACACATACGCACACACATAACACACACTCGTGTAACAGATGAGATGGGTGCGATATAAATTGTGGGTAAAACGCTGCAGTGGCACCATGTAGATATTGCAGTAAAATTGTGAGAATTGGAATTTATTGATTGGCCATTAACCAATTGAGAAGCACAAGAAAAGGAAATGATGCAACACAAACACACACACTCGCACACACACACACACACACCCATTCAAACACCCTCTCCCAAGGCACACAACATGCAGCAGCAGCAACAACAACACATGCTGGCGCTTGTCAGCAATTGAGGCGATCCACTGCTGTTGCCCACTAATTAGCAGAGCTTCCTTTTGCCACTCCCCTCCCACCCTTTCAGCTGCGATTTCTATCTGGTCTATCTGCTTTCTCTGTCTGTCTGTCTCTGTCTCTCTCTCCCTCATCCTGCTACTGTGCAGTTGTTCAGCAATTTCACGCCTCACAATTGTATTTCAGGCATTTACGAATGCGATTTAGGGCAATGCACGACTGTTGTATACCCTATAAACAGCTGCAGTATGCATCCACACATAAAGCTGATTCTAAAGATAAAATGCAATAAATACATCTGTATTTACCCGAACAAGGCATGTTATATTTGCTTCGCGAACTTTGATTAATTTTGTTCGAATTGCTATTTTGAATTTGGAAGAATTGTAAATTCAACATTAACCCAATTTTGTCAGCAGCTATGATATTGAATTCTCCTCTTAATGCTTCTTCCAGGTGCTGCCAAGTTATGGCAAAATTTGAATTGTAATTTTTTGGGAGTAAATCGATTTTTCAATTCGATTCTAATCTTCACTTGTGTCTGAAATGCAATTTTGTGTTTCTTACTTAAACATTCAATTGTAATTATACGAATTTAATACATTCAATGAAAGCCCCAAATTAGTGTTATACTGGCAATCCTCTGGCGATATCACCGATAAAACATTTCTCTCTGTTAGATAAACTCCTCTGTTATTCGTTTTACTGCAACAACAACAAAATCCACTCAAACGAGCGAAATATATGTTTGCGCGAATGTGCATGAGCGCCAAAACAAAAGGAGAGTTACAGTTAAAACTTCGACTGCCTTAACCTATTAGTGCAAGCGAGATAGCAAGACCATTCCCATTTGTTCTGCTGTTCTTTGTACGCACCTTCTTTGTCGAAGTGACGACAATTATAAGATTAAATCAACAGCTTCAGATTATGTGCGCCTGGTATTTAGAGATGGCACTTTACGTTTTTTTAAGGCCGGGCGGTGGCTGCCATTGGCATAATTATAGCCAAAGTTTAATATTTACTTTGACAAATTAAATATAAAATAAATTACACATTATATATATAAATGCCGATCACCTAAGGATATATCTTTTTTTAACTACTTTGCATTAGTATATAACATCATCATTCAGATATTCTATTATTCTATTATTTTAACAAGTCAAAAAGGTATATCCATAAAAGATCGGCCTTAAGTTACCCGAAATGCATAAAGCGTTATGTTAGCAGCAGAAGTGGTTATTATATGGCGTGTTAACTTGATTCTGATCAGCCATCACTATTCGGCAACCATTCTGTTATTCTTTTTGCTGCAACAACAACAACATCCGCTTACGCGAGCGAAATTATATGTATGCACGAATTTGCATGAGCGCCAAGCAAAAGGAGAGTTACAGTTAATGCGCCGAGTTGCGTTTGCGCACATATGTGTAAGCGAGATAGCAATTTTCATTCATTTCAATATCATTCCCATATATTCTGCTGTGAGCACCCTTTGCACAGACCTTCTTAGTCGAAGCGACGGCAAATTAAGATAAATCAACAGCTTCAAATTATGTGCGCCTGGTATTTAGAGATGACACTTTACGTTTACCTTAAGACCTAGCGGTGCATAGTATCGTCATGCCAGGTGATATTTATTTGATATGAAAAATATTTTATAAATGAAGCTGAATATATTATCAAGGAGCCCCAGATGATGGACTCAATTGCAAATTATTTAGACACATTTAATATTAACACCAATCATCTACTAATTGTCGAAAATTGTATCTGGTTAATGCACAATTATGAATTACTCGCGGTTCGAGTAGTTTGTATTATATGAAGCTTATTTTATACACAATTGCACTATTTTAAAGTCGTTTGTAGCAGCGCCAGGTTTGAAAGTAATCGTAAAATGTCATATCCAATAAGAACGAACTAAAAATCGCGTCAGTGAGTTGCATACGTCTGTATAGAAGAAAACACCCACACATATTTGTGCATCACGTTCACATAAATTTTTGTTGGGACTTATCGCTCAATACAAGAATTGTTTCTTTACAAAATCTACTTATGATCGCTTGCTTGTTCTTTTTGCTGTGCGCCCTTTTTGCACTGCTGCAGTGCTCTGAGCGCAAAAGTAGCCTCTCAAGCCTTCACTCTCCGTGTTCCCACACATTCGTTGGCGTAGTATTCCCATTGCTTGTATATCCAAAAAATCCACCATTTCCTTTTTATGTGCGCCTAGCATTACATACATACATATTTACATACTTAGCATACCCAACATCAGTTTGTGTGTGCGTTTGCTTGTACGTTATCTATCTACCTACAGAACTAAATTACGCGAGCGCAGAGCAGAGGCTTAGAGCGATAAGCAGCAAAAAAAAATCGTAAGAGCGCGCAGAAGAGGTAGAGAATAATAAAGTAAACACATATCATGCGACTCCAGCTGCATACACTTGTTTGGGTGTGTGTTCGCCCATGTTATCTACATCATAATCTAAAGTCGCTCGTGTACGCATTTCTCTTCCGATCGTTTGCCTGCGCCGACCTGCGCAATATTATTCTGTGTTAGTTTTTCCTCAGAAGTCAATTGAGCTTGAGTAGTTGCCGCTTAAGCTTTTATAAAACTATGTGATGCTTAAAATGTATTCCATTAAGATAGATGAAGCGATTTAAAAGGATTTTGCAAAATATTAGACTTATATATAAAAAAAGATCAAAAGCTTGTGCCTGTGAGAAATCTTCATCATGATTGATGTTCATAAGCATAATCAGCATAATCATAAGCATAATCATAATAATAATACTTGCTTCCTAGCGTTTCCCTCTGCATGCACTTGTGTGTGTGCTTATACGCTTATATGATATATATATATGTGCGTATGTGATCGCTAAGAGAGAACTAAACTGTGCGAGCGTAATGTGGACTGAAGAAACGGTGCCCAGAAAGAAACGATAAGCAGAAACAAAAAATCGTGAGAGCGCGATGCATAGGTAGATAATGCAAGAGCACACATATGTAAATTTATATGTTCATATCTGGCGATTATCTCTGCATGTTCTTTTTGAGGTGTGTATATTCTTGAGTGAGATGCATATGTTTAATTGCTTGTGCGTTATCTACCTTCGAATTGCGCTCACTCGAATTTATAAGTTGCTTGCTCTATTTTCTGTTGGTCGACTTTGTCAATCATTGAGTCCGCGGAACATAATTCTGTTTTAGTTTAACTCCAACAGTCGTGAGAATCTGTTCAAAATATTACAAGTGAAATATAAAAAGCATATATTAATCGCTGCTCGAATGGTAAACGTTTTCGGATTCATACGGATCGAGAATATCGATTGGCATTCAAATACGCACATCTTATAATTTGAGACAGTTTGACAAAAGTAGCATTACAGTTTCTGTCAATATTAAGAGATGGTGCAATAAAAATTAGTGGACTATCAAATCTATAGAGTTTCCTGAATCCAGAAACGTATGTCTTCGATCGGGCTTTATTTAACAGATATAGAATCACTTAAATTATACAAAAACCCTTATTTTTCATGTTGTATTTTTCAGCCAAATCTGTAAAAAATATCAACAATATTTTTGGTTTCTAGATGACCCATAAATCCTTGGTTATAAATACCATGGATACAGTTCCAAAGAACCTACAGGACTGAATTCTTACTAAATTAGCTAGAATATAGTCCAAATGTATGATTTTGCTTTCAGCTTCTTAGTTCTTAGTTGACTTGCATAATGAAAACCTGGATGAACAATTATTACGCTCAGTCGGTTGTCTTTTTAATAGATTCGAATTATTTTCTGATCTAAGCTGGATGTCCAGATATTGTATAAAGAACCGATTTGTTAGCTCTACTCCCTAATATACCCGCCTAACACTATGAACATTTCTAGGGTATAGATATTATATGCATACAGCATATGCCAGCCCTCAAATATGACGACAGGCAGTTGGGGCACTTCGGCGGACTCTAGCTGCATTAGCATTGTTTTTCGCACAACAAAAATCAGTTAAAGTGTGTGTGCGTGTGTGAGTGTGTGTGTGTGTGTTATATGTTGTGCTGTACATGTTTTTGCAGCATTGCGTTGCACATTATAAATGCAAAATTCGCACTATAATGCGCCGGACTCTACGTGGCAGCAGCACAAAACTGTTTACAATGACGACTCCTGCGGACGGACGGGCATTTAGCAAAAGTCCATTCCCAGCAATTGTGATGGATGATTGTTTGCATTGCAAAACATTTGCGTGGAGCGTTGGTTTCTCGATACGCACGCCCACGGCCTCATTCATTTGATGATGCATGTGCCCACGCTGTCATGTCCTGGTCGATTTTCAGCTATGGGTCCGCATTTGATTTAAAATCCTGACTATTGCTCAAATGCGGAAAATTCATTTAACAAAATTGCATATGCATGACCGATGGCGCGCGAGGTTTCGAGGTTGTCTGCGTTGGGGTCTGGCGTTTACCGAGTCGCATTTAAAGCGCATTTGTTTGTGAAGGATCGAAAACTATTATGAGCTCATCATACTTCAACCCTTTTTATATAGAGTATCTAATGCAAAACACTACATTAGTTTAGTCCAAATGCAATTATTCTGTTTGACTCTCTTGACAACTTGTTGCTTAGTTTCGATGGGCTTGTTAATCGGTACGTCTATCAGATAGATAATCGGCTTTAACTACTATTAATCAGCCTCTGAACTATGGTATATTTTGACTGAAATTATTAGACCCACACTAAACCAAAAAGTTCTTTAGGTTTCCCATAATCTGAGCTAAAAATAGCTCACATAATTTCTCGTCCACTCTTCATTTAAATGTGCTAACAATGGTAATAATCTTTTTATCCCACCTCTCACCTCTCTCTCTCATCTGTCTGTCTCTTTTCAGAAATGGAAAGTGCGCCACGTAATGTGCAAGTGCGGCCGTTGAGCTCCTCAACGATGGTTATTACTTGGGAGCCACCAGAGACGCCCAATGGACAAGTGACCGTAAGTACCTGGCATTGAGTACGCATATTAAACAACAACCCGAACAGGGACACAGACTCGAGCTCCGGCTACAGATGTCTGCAGGCCAGGCCAAGGGTCGACACTTTGTCACGTCGAAACGAAAGGCCGGGGGCAGAGAAATGGCCCAAATGACGTTAGCCATGTTTGGCATTAAAACGCAGGCGGGCCCAGAGAAGGGGAGCAAAGCGTTTAAATGCAAATGTGCGAATGAAATCAAAGCCACACAACAGTTAGCCAGTTGGGCTCCCAGTTAAGCCACCCAAGCCAGATCCTTCGGCTCCTTCGGGCTGCCTTCTGACTGGCTTTGGATTGCCTGGCTGGGCTGCACGTTGATCGAGTCAAGTGCTAGGCCGCAATGGCTGTGGTCTCCATTGTTGTGTGCCTCGTGCCACGGCGTGCTGCAGCTGCAAACAGTTCTCGCCGCAATGCCAAAATTATAAAGTACGCAAATCTGAGACCGCAGGTCATATTTCATTCTAGGCTATCAGCCTTACCAATTGCTTGCAGTTTATGGTTAAGCCAAAGATTTTGGGAGCACATAAGGATGCCACTTTTAAATGAGCTCGAAATGGAATAGTTTAAGTTAATGTTTTTGGTGCAATAGAAAGTGCCATATATTGTTTTTTTTTTTTCAGCTATACCATTCGCAATGTTTCTTCGTAACGTTCTTTTACTTTCTCTCGTTCTTTACAGGGCTACAAGGTGTACTACACGACCAATTCGAATCAACCGGAGGCCTCATGGAACTCGCAAATGATTGACAATAGCGAACTGACAACCGTATCGGAACTGACGCCACATGCCATCTATACGGTGCGTGTGCAGGCGTACACCTCAATGGGAGCCGGTCCCATGTCCACTCCGGTGCAGGTGAAGACACAGCAAGGTGAGTGCCAGCTGCCCTCCAATATTGATAGCCAAATCTCATCCAATTAGTGGTGAAATGTCTAATTGAATAGCTCGGTTTAAACGGCCCGCATAGAGAACACCAATTATTTAATTAGAATGTCCAAAATGTTCAGTCCAATGCATATTATGTAGATGTTTGTTAACCTCTATACAATCTCTTTCAATCTGGCAATTCGTTTTTATCGTCAAATAGAAATAAACGCCAATCTAACTTAGTCAGCATTATGTGCTTTCTCTCTCCCTATCCCTCTCTTTCTCTCTCTCTGAATTTAAATTAAATTTATACATTCTGACAACGCTGTCAAAAACCAGTAATAAACACAAATTACCCTAGCTAATTTTCTAATCTTCCATGAATAAAAATAGGTATTTTAAATTTCAAAAATCCGTCTCTACCTTAAAGCGATTTGGCAACTCTGTCATAAACTTGGCCAATTCGTTTAACTAATTCCCTAGTTTGTCATGAAGCGAATATTTAGTTTTACATTAAGACAAACTAGTTCCTTTTGTTAACCTAACATCATTTTCGTTCTCTGACAATTTTGCCATTTTATGTACTTGGAAGCAAGTGTTTTTTTGTAGTTTGCCAAGTTGATTTTGAATCAAACCCATTTATAAAATTTACTTACAACTATGCGTATCTATGTGTACTTACGTGTGTGTGTGTGTGTGCGAGTGCATGCAGCAAATATTCATTAAATTTGACTGCTGAAGCAATTGCATTTCCCATACATTGATGTGCAGCTTTGTGGTTTCGAGGACTTCGTCTAGCAGGGCGGGAATCTCGTTGCGCCAAGGGGGCGGGAATGTGGCGTTTGGCACGAGGGGAGACGGGAAGATGCTGGTCATCTAGTTTATGGTGTGACTTTGAATTTGTTGCTTTTGCAGATACTGACTAATGCGCTTAGCTGCGTTTGGGCCAACCTCTTTGACCATAAGCTCTTTGTATTGCAAGCGTAAGGATTTCCATTTGCAATTGCAACTGAAAATATATGCAAAATGCATTCATTTATTTTTCAAGTGCAAGTATCAGACAGCTTAAACTAAATATTGCACACATTAAATATCTAATAAGGATATACTCTGGGATTACTGGAGATTACTTTGATATTATCATGAAAGCAAAATCTTTAAATCTTATTAAAAGATAATGTTAATGATAATGCCATGCAATCTTGAAATAAGTGTTAAGTCTCATGCATTTTCCGACCTTAGGCGTAAAGCAAGTATACAAATAACTATCTTTTGTTTATCTTTTAGAGCTGAGTTTGATGCCGAACGGAATAAAAATGAGTTCCTCCCAAACTACAATCAGAACAAAGTTGTAGGGGTTTGGTGATGTGCTTTACACCATTTCAGATTTTCGCATAACTTTATTATTCTCCCCATTTTAAATGGATACAGTTGATGGTCACATGCAAAAATATTACTTTGGCACAATGGAATGTGTCTAAAATGGGGACAGGTCTTCCTTCGTTATGGCAATAGCAATACGCATGTATTCAATTATTTGTGGGACGGGGGGGGTGCAATTTCAATCAATTTTATAGGCTGAACTACATTTATTTTCAACTGGCAACAATTTTGCATATCTCAGAGTGAAGTGTGCGTGTGTATTTGTGTGTGTGTGTGAGAGAGTGTGTTGATCTGAATCATTATATCTGAGTGGGCGCATATAAATAAATGCCACATTGATTTGTTTGTATTTTATTTAATTTCCGTAATTTCCGTTTCATTATTAACAAACCAACCAAAACCGAAAACCAAATATGTGCGTACGTGAATGCCTCGATACGTTTATACATATACCCAGGTGTGCCATCACAACCGAGCAATTTCCGGGCCACTGATATCGGCGAGACCGCAGTCACATTGCAATGGTCCAAGCCGACGCATTCCAGCGAGAATATTGTACATTATGAGCTCTACTGGAATGACACATATGCCAATCAGGATCATCACAAGTGAGTTGGAGCCCCCTTCCCCTCCCCCACGCCAACGCCCAGTTAATTATATTATAAGACAGCAAGAAATTTAATCATAAAAATCATTTGCAGGCGCATCTCGAACTCTGAGTCCTATACGCTTGATGGTTTGTATCCCGATACCCTGTACTATATCTGGCTGGCAGCACGTTCCCAGCGTGGCGAGGGCGCCACCACGCCGCCCATACCCGTACGCACCAAGCAATATGGTAAGTGCTTTGCTTTTGCTTAATCCTAAGTTAGGTACCACGAAAAAAAAGAAAAAAAAACACAAAACGAAACTCAACTAAGCCGTAGAAATCGAGTACGAGTTGCTCTAGTTTAAGTACAAACCAAAAAAAAAAGACTCCAAACATAAATTTCGTTTCAACATATAACTATATAATTACATATTAATTATAAACATACATATATATTTATATATATTTATATGTTCAATAAGTGTAGTTGATTATTCAGTTGAAATACTTTTATATAAATTTATGTGTGCCATATATGGGAGTGTGTGTGCATTTTTTGTGTGTTATGGCCACCCTCAAGGAGACAGGTAAAAATCGAGCGTGTGTGTGTGTGTGTGTGTGCGAGTGTGTATGAGTAAGGTGTGTTATGAATTGCACTTTTCTGCCTAAATTAAATATTAATATAATATTTATATATACAAATATTTATTATAATATATATATTGTATGAAATGTGATTCTAGTTTCTTGCAAGTTATTTGTACTTAGTTCAGTTTATACACACACTATATTATACACTAGACTACTCCTAAATACACCTGTACATACCTTAGTCTAGTTAAGATAATACGTTACATACATACAACAGCTGAGTTAGGTATACTATCCACAATATACAAAACCAAACTAGTTATGGGCCCAATTCTATTCAGTTATTAAATAAAAAAAAAACTTCTGTTAAAATAATTATGATTCACCAATGATTCACCACCAAAAATACATAATAAATTAATTCAAAATTATTTCCAATAATACATCCTATTTTACCTCAAGAATTCGCATTCTGGGCGTTTCTCAAAGTTGTTGGGCGATTAGTTGCCTCCACGCCCTTTTTTTGACTTGTTCCACATATCTTATAATAAATTGTAGACAGAATATTGCTCAGTTGATAGCATCCGAATCTTGTTAAATATATATAAATATATCCAATATATATAAAAATATATATTAAAATATAAATGCTTATTGTTTCTGCATCCAGTTTCGATCTTTTGGTGAAACATAACCCCCAAAAATAAACAAAACCTGCTCACGTTAGCCAACACTGTAAACATCACCACATGACAGTTTGCATACAACAGAACAGATATTTCTTTATATACTTATTTTTAAGATTATTTCTCTTTAAATGTGAATGATATTTATTGATATTTAAATTTTATGCACATGAATGCCATTATTTTATTGCAAGTGTTCAGTTAAAAACAAATTATGTTTAAAAGTATCTGCAACTTGTGTTCAGTCTCAGCATGTCAAATTTTTAATGCAACTGCAACTTGAACTGCACCAATGCACAAAAAGCCACAAACTAGAATTTCTAGACAATACTCTACTGCTGTATTAGCAAATCCCTCTCTTTCTCACTTACTCATCTTCTCTGGTGCCTCTCTGTTTGCGTGTGCATTTAGTAATTGATTTTGAAATACATTTTAATAGAGCAACGCGCACAGACGAATTGTACAAGGAAAACGCCAGCAGTAGCTGTAGTATCTGGCAATAGTATATAGACACTATATCTAAAATGATATATATATTTTCTATATGTATTTGTATTGCATCACTTTTGGCTTTCATATTTGCACGTTTTGCATACTTGTATGATTTTGCGCATAATTAAAGTTTAAGTGGTTCCAGTGGTTCCTGGCTTAACAATTGTTCTGTGGCAGCCACAAATTGTGCTCACAGTTCTACACAAACAGTTCACACAAGGAGAAAAAGAGAAGTACACCGAGAGAGAGAGAGAGAGAGAGAGAGAGAGAAACAGAATCGGGGGAGCAAACGTTTAGCTAAATGAGATATGAGTTTGGCATGCGGATTATTCAGTGGTCTAAATTGACTTATTTCCTGTAGTTTGTCATAAGTTATTTGCAATGGTTTTGCAATTGATAGAAAATTTAACTTATTACGGGTCGATTACGTGTAGTGCATAATATTATTTCCATAAATGTTTTGAGTATAGTTGAAATCATTTCTGGCCTTGAGTTAACACAAATATATATATATATATTTTTATTAAATACTAATCTAAATTTAGAGTCGGAGTTAGTTTTATGTTTTAACTCCTAGTTTCACGCTTAACGTATAAATAAAAAAATGTTAAATATAAAACCCATAGCCACATGGTTTATGCAAATTAAATGTTCATATATCTCCGTATACCATGTGTGTTCGCACTGTGCGTGTGTTAATGTATGTGTGTGTGTGTGTGTGAGCCTTCCAATTAGTTTAAGCTAGCTTTAAATATTTGCACACTTTTATGTATTTTTTTAAATTAAATATTAAATATATATATATAGCTTGTTAAATGCACGCTTTTAAATATTTAATGTATTCCTGTATTATTAGTTTATATACATAAATTGCTCTCAGTGTGTGTCTCTTGCTCACTCGTTCTCGTAGCTAGTTAAAAATTTCAGCTCAAAATCGTTACCAAAAAATATGCACAATTTAATTTAAGCGAGAAGCAGAACTTCTCTAACAAAATAGAACAAAACGCTAAACGCTAAAAAAAAAAAAAAACAAAAAGCAAAAAACATTATTTGCATAAACCATTGGATCTATAAAATTAATGTCTTGAATCTTATTTGAATTATTATTTAATATACCTAACTTATATGCCTACCTTATATACTTATGCCTATCCATTACGTCATTTATTCAACATGATTTTTGTGCTTTCTTTCGTTACATGTTTTTTGGTTTGAAACTATTTTTGGTTTGGTTTAAACGCTAATCGCTGAACGCTATGAAAAAAAAACAAATATCTCTGGCTATAACGCAACCAAATTTTCTATGCACATCACCCAAAAAAAAAAAAAAAAAAAAAACAACAACAACACGTTACCATCTATTATGTAATTAGTACCAGGTGCACCGCCACGCAATATCACGGCCATTGCCAACAGCTCGACAACTATAGCGCTTAGCTGGCTGCCTCCGCCCGCGGAGCGCTCCAACGGTCGCATCGTATACTATAAGGTACTGTTCGTGGAGGTGGGCCGCGATGACGACGAGGCGTCCACCTTGACCCTGAACATGACCCAAATCGTGCTCGACGAGCTCAAGCGCTGGACCGAGTACAAGATCTGGGTGCTCGCCGGCACCTCGGTGGGCGACGGTCCGCGCTCCCATCCGATCATAACGCGCACCCAAGAGGATGGTATGTATGCCAATGACAATCTTACCTATGCGTAAGTCTTAACTCAAGTCGTATTCTCTTTGTTCATTTATCGGTTCACTTTTTTTTTTTTTGATTAAACTTATTTTTAATCTCATCTCTTCGATACATATAATTTTTATTACTATTTTACTTTAGTTTATAACTTTATAACCGTTATCTACCTAACTTATGCCTCATAACTAATCAACGAAAATTTGTATACGATTTTTGAATTTTGATATCGAGCAATCCCAACGCAGGAGCTGCCGGAACGCCGCAATGGAGCGTTTTGTTTTTGGTTTTTATCAACAAAATTTGTGTGTGCCTGTGTGTGTGTGTTTACCTAAAGTCATTTTAGATATGCGACTGGCAGTAAATACCATATGCTACATACATATATACCATATATGTTCTGAAAAGCTGCAAATATTCATATATTTTTGAATGCAGCTATGTTTTATACATTTGAATATCCCCCTTTTTTTGTAGTGTATTATTTTTATTATACATTCCTGGATATTTTTTTTTTTTGGTTAAAGAGACATATTTCGATTTTCGATTTTTACAGATAGAAAACTTCAATCGAATGCTTCTGATGCGAGTTAACTAAATTATACTCAACTAATCAATATATAAAGAAACTGCTTAATAAAACCTAAATCTGTAAACCTTTTTAAACTCGGATGCTTAAGCTGCTCAGTGAATTTCTAATTAAAATGTTCTATCAAAATATTCAACCATATCTATATCGCTCTAGGAGATTCTAAACGAATTCTATTTCAAATAGTTCTGCGAATTTTTTCATAAAAATTCAATCATTATTTTTATTTAAATAAAATAATCCAGAGAAAAATCTCCATTGACATTTAAAAATATTTTAAGGATTCCTTCGATCTTGAACCATTATGGATATTTAATTTAATTTGTATTCTGTTTATATGACATCGAAATATCATCCCCTACTTCTATCTCTTACCATTTCTTGTCCGAACATTCAATTTTATGTTGAACCCACTTTAAATTGTTTTCGTTTCATACTTATGTATGCTTTTTTTATTGTTAAAATTCTATCAAAAAAATGTTAAAAAAAAATTTTTTTTATTGGTACTATAAAATTGCATATTTTTTGGCGCAATTTTTGACTACTTTTTGCACTTGTATCTCTATGAAAAATCAGAAACTAACTTTTTTAGCACAACTCCTATAATGTGTATTATATGCAAGAACGAATTTTTGTTAATTTACTTGACTCTCAACTCGTCTTAAACAAAATACACGAATTGGATAAATATTATAAATATATATATGATAATTTTTGATCGATATAATGCATCAACTTTTTTGTGGTAATTTGTATAGCACCAAGAACAAAAAAAAAAAAAAATAATAAGAACATGAGCTCTGTGTTTTTGTAAGCGCACCAGATTTTATACCAAATACTAACTTACCAACACAAACACACAACTAAATATCTTAAACAAATATAAATATAATCTAAACAAATATCAAATTATGATTTTTGTGAATTTAGTTAGTTTGTTTGTTGTTTATTTTCTGCGAACCACCAAAAGAGCCGCATTAAATATTAAATTGATTTATTTACATAATTAAATTTATGCAATTATAAATGTAAACACGCGCTCCCATTACCCCGACAAACAAGCCTAAATAGGGCCTAGTTGTATTCAAATATCAACCCCCTACCCCCGTACTACCCGAACCCTAATGCCAGCATACATAAGCTCTTTTGTTGTGGTGTACCTAAGGCAAATAATGCAAAACGTTTGGCTGCATTTATTTATTTTTTGTTTTTAGTTGCCGCACACCTATATATATATATATATAAATATATGTGTGTATATATATTTACATGTATGCATACATATTTAATAACATTTTGCAGCAGCTCGATGTATATTTTTGGACAAAGCTCCCGAGTTTGTTTTTGTTTTTTGATATTTGCACTGAATTTTTTACAAACATTTTGCACTTTGAAGCCCCGCCCCTTACATTCCCCCGTATGGTTTTTTCTTTATCGCATTGCAAATACACAACAACATGGCGAAATCCTTAAATTGATTTTCGCATAAAAATTATTTGATTTTTGTATTTAATTTGTATTCTGTTGACACATTTGATTAAGTTTTATTTGCCATCACCTGCATGTTTGTCCAGTTAACACATTTGCATCTGGTTCAGCATTTTTTATTCGATCCATTCCCATTCTCTGGACCCCTCGCCTGTTTTTGTTATTATTGTGGCCGGACCTGAGCCCCCTCTTGGTTGATCCCGCCATTTGTTAAGGCAACAATGGAACCAATTTTATTGTTTATGCTTACATTTTTTGCACAACTAATTGTTAATTTTTTTGTTTCTGTGAGTTTGCAGTTCACAGTGAGCCAATTATTTCAACAATATATAGTTAATCAGCATTTGTGAGATAATTAAGCAGAAGTCTGTTCAATATTTTAACAATATATTTCAATTAATCAAACTATTTTCTGGTTCTGCCTTTATTATAGTGGAAAGAAGTCACTTTAGGCCTTTTTTAAAGAATAGTATTGAAAAAAGAAATATTTAAAATTAAAATCCATAGAAAAGTTTGCAAAAAACGAAGAAGTCCTTCGATATGTTGTAGTAAAATATAAAAAAAGGCTACTTTAAATTCAAAAGTTAAATACTTGTAATATATTCTAGCCTAAACCACTTTTAGTGATGTATTTTTTTTTTAAAAGTATGACCAAGTTAGATGTATGGACAAGGTTAAAAGGAAACTTCTGTGCTAATAATTTAGCTCCAACTTTTAAAACATCCAAAACTGCTTACTCCAACAACAGATTTGTTGAACAACTTTGAGTTTTCATTTTTCTGAAAGAGCTCGACATTGTTGCACTTCCCTCATCATTATTTTCAAATATCTCCATATTTTCTACGCCTCATTTCCTTAACATCCGGTTCTCGTACATTAATTAACTGCTTGTTAGCTTTTAAACTGCTTGTTAAAATACCTATCATTCTTTATAAAGCACCGATCTACTTTTGTTTTTATTTGAAGCTTGTCGACAAAATGAGACAAAGTTGGCACTCACTTAATTTGATTTATTTAAGCACAGCTAATGAATTATATTTACGTAACATTAAGCACCTAGTAGTACGTCTCTAGTCGGGCAATCGCAACTAAGTTAAGCATTAAGCACACTACAAAAGCCACTTTGATAATGTACTTAGGTAAGCACTTGAAAAAGCACCTGAAAAACAAAACTGAAAAAGCACCTGGAAGCACCTAGCACACGTATGCCAAAAGAGAAAATATCTACAATAAGCAATGGGCGCACACAATATGTGCACAATAACAATTTATACGTAAAGCTACTTTTTGATTTCTTTCGTGATAGAAAAATGAATGTATGTATTATGAGCAATGCACCTCAAGCACATTCACGTGTGTAGTCAGCACATTATTCTCTACACAACTCAATTCTTTGTCTTTGTCGCCTACTATATTTTAATTGTACTCAATTAAGCACAATGTGTGTGAGTGTGTGTGTGTGTGTATGTGTTTTGTGTGTGTGGGTATGGGTGTGTGTGACAAAGTCACTCCCATTGATACCCCTGCGGCTATAGCATTTCACACTTAAAGGGTCAGCTCATAAGTATGCTACAGTATTTTTCCTACCACATATGTAAGTATATGTATAAAGCTTTTATTTCTTCAAATTTTATTTTATATACTTTCGTATATGTTTCGTTATGATGATGCGCTTGTTAGCTTCGCTGAGCTTCGCTTTCAATGCGAAATGCAAATAGCACCTGGCCCAAAGCTGGGCACTTGCTTGGTTCTTTTTTATACTCTTCCACTCAGTCACTCCGTAATGCAGGCAGCTTGCCTTTTGTGTGTGCTACAGTAGACACACACGTTCCGTTCAAAATGGCAAAAGTACCAAAAAAAAAAAAAGCAACTGAAACACAGAAAAAATTGACACCTTCGAGGGTATACTCAACCTACAGTTGCTCATATTCTCCATGCAACAAGCCTCCTAATATGTTTAGAAGATATATACATAACAGAATTAATCTGTACTTTTGAAAATATTTTCTAGTCATGAAAAATAAAGCATTCTGCGAATGCCTTTATTATTAAAAATCAGTTTCCGTTCTACAATTAAAATTTATCAAGACATATTTAAGATCTCAATAGACATATATGTCCGCCATTATTGTGTTTCAAGTCTACCAAAATAAGTAATAAAAAATTCAAGAATTTTACAAACACCTACCAATGTGCCCAAAATAATTATGCTTACAGGGTATTAAGGGTAAATAAGTACGGGCTATATAAAAAATCAGCTTAAAATTTTAGCTTAGCTTAGGACTTGCACGTAACTTCGTTCTTTCTATTCAGCAGCATACAAAAAGAGAAAAAAAAGAAATATATTTAGAGAACACCTCCTAACGGTAGAATTTTAATTATTTTATATTCCTTTACTATGCACGTGTTATTAGATTGTGTGTGCGAGGGTGTGTTAGTTGTGTGAGTGTGTGTGTGTGTGTGTGGGTGTGAATGCACGTGAAATGACAAGACACAGACAAAGCTACTGCAAAGTGCTACAGTTGATGTACCTCTGCCCTCGCCCATATAACCCCACGCGACTATTCTGCCCCCACGTGCAGTGCTTGGGAGAACACTAATGAAGCATAATTTAACATTTGTGCCGCGAGTTGCATTTGAATAATTTTTATTATGCAGTTGCTCAACCTTTTAATGAAGTGAATAAAATTTGAACATTAAATTAAAAGTTATATACTGCAAATAGCAAGATTTTTAAGTATTGTAAAAACTCATAATAAATTAATATATATACATATACCTAGATTTATATAACAAATTGTTTTAGTAAGTTACTTTTAAGACCTAGGCTCACTTTAAGATTTAAGCTCTACAAAATACCACATCATACTAAATATTTATACAACTGCAACACATTTGTAGAGTATCAAAGCGGGTGTGCCAACAAATATGTACATTTTGTATCATATTTAAATATATATTCAGATAAATTGATAAACTATTTTCATCTTAATTTAATCAAAAACTATCTTTTATAATTTCATATAATTTTCAATTCCATGCGAATCCCGTAATATGCACTAAATACTTTTTGAAACTGTATACTGTAAACTAAAAAGCTATATCTTATATCTTTTTTCATATACTACTTAAAAAAAAAACCAACACACACACACACACTAAAAAAATACCAAATATATCTTTGCTTGGCCACTCGCACCTTGCACTCTACTTGCTCTGTTTCGTGCACCTTTTTTTGAATGCAAACTCGAAATGGAAAACTGTAACACAAAATTTTTGAAAACTTTTTGATGTGAATACAAAATATATTGCGAAATTTGATTTTTGAACGCAACATTTAATGGATGGTGGTTTAATATTAAAAATACAAATAAAAAAACCTTTTTAAATCTATTTAGAGAAAAAGAGTGAGTATTTTTTAAATGGTTTGACTATAATGTTTAAGAATGCCCCATAGCAACCTATATATATTTATATCTACAATATCTTGTACTATGTTTACTTTTAATTGTACTGGTCCAGAATATTGTTGACCAATCACTAAAGAATCAAATCTCTTTTTGTTTTTTGACATGTTTTTTCTATTTCACAACAAACAACAACATTTTTGAAAGCCAAAAAGTCTGCGAGGATTTTGTAACTGGGCTCTTGACTTTTTTCACAAGAGCCCCATATCTAACGATCTAATATATACGTACATCTACATACATATATATATATATATATGTTTTTTCTTTTATTTCAATCATATGTTTTGTTTTATCCGATTTTGCACACGAACAGTAAAAACTTTTTTGAATGCTTACATGTTTGGTTTTGCCCAATCGCAAGAGTTGAACAAGTAAAGAGCCTTAACTGGTTCGATCTTGTTTCGATTGTCAAGTTTTTGTGTACATTTTTTGAACTACTCTATAAGTATGTACTATTCTATATACTTAGCAAGGTATCAACTGCACTTCTTATTCAATTTTTGTGCACCTAATACTGAGCAACCACCTATTTATTTCATTATTTATATACTATACCTACCTACCTAACTATAACCATACATATAGCACCTAAGCAGCACTATCTTTGATACTTTTAACGATTTAACAACTTATACATTAAATATTTTGATTTCTAACTGTGATGTGGTGACTTGGTTGACTTTGAGCTAAGTTTGTTCTGGTTTTGTAAATTGCTCCTAGGGTCTAAGGCAACTTTAGCACTTAGCTTTTAATGTCTCTAGTTCCATATATATGTCTTTAAATTAAGCTATTTAGCCATAAGGAACCCAAAAATTATTTTATACTAGCCTAAGTTAACTCCTAAGTACTCGTTAAGTATACAAATAAGTTCTATGAAAGAACGTTACTTTTGCTGGCTCTAAGCTAATCTCTTGTCTCTTCGTCGTCGTATCTAGTGCCTGGAGATCCGCAGGATGTCAAGGCCACGCCACTGAACTCAACATCGATACATGTGAGCTGGAAACCGCCACTAGAAAAGGATCGCAATGGCATCATACGTGGCTATCACATTCACGTGCAGGAAATGCGAGATGAGGTGAGTTGGGAAAAGGGATAAGAAGGGATATAAGGAAAATAAAATGTTATTTCTTTCATATTAATTTCTTTTTTCTACCAGGGCAAGGGCTTTCTCAACGAACCCTTCAAATTCGACGTGGTCGACACGTTGGAGTACAGTGTAACCGGGCTGCAACCGGACACAAAATACTCAATTCAAGTGGCCGCGCTAACGCGCAAAGGTGACGGCGATCGCAGCGCGGCGGTTATTGTAAAAACGCCCGGAGGTGTGCCCGTTCGGCCAACGGTAAGTCTGAAGATTATGGAACGCGAACCCATTGTATCCATCGAGCTGGAGTGGGAGCGTCCGGCGCAAACGTACGGCGAACTGCGTGGCTATCGCTTACGCTGGGGCGTCAAGGATCAGGCATTAAAAGAGGAGATGCTGTCGGGACCGCAAATGACCAAGAAACGTTTCAACGATCTCGAACGTGGGGTGGAATACGAGTTCCGGGTCGCGGGCAGCAATCACATTGGCATCGGTCAGGAGACGGTCAAGATCTTCCAGACGCCCGAGGGCACACCCGGTGGACCGCCGTCCAACATAACTGTACGGTTTCAGACACCCGATGTGGTCTGTGTCACCTGGGATCCGCCAACGCGAGATCATCGCAATGGACTTATCACACGTTACGATGTGCAGTTCCACAAAAAGATCGATCACGGCCTGGGCTCCGAGCGCAACATGACGCTGCGCAAAGCGGTCTTCACCAACCTGGAGGAGAATACCGAGTACATCTTTCGCGTGCGTGCCTACACAAAACAGGGCGCGGGTCCATTTAGCGAGAAGTTAATTATTGAAACGGAGCGCGACATGGGACGTGCCCCAATGTCCGTACAGGCGGTGGCTACCTCCGAGCAGACAGCCGAAATCTGGTGGGAGCCGGTGCCCAGTCGCGGAAAACTGCTTGGCTATAAAATCTTCTACACAATGACGGCTGTGGAGGATCTCGATGATTGGCAAACGAAGACGGTGGGTTTAACTGAATCGGCAGACCTGGTCAACCTGGAGAAGTTTGCCCAATACGCCGTAGCCATTGCAGCGAGATTTAAGAACGGACTGGGACGCCTGAGTGAGAAGGTAACGGTGCGCATCAAGCCCGAAGATGTGCCGCTCAATCTGCGCGCCCATGACGTCAGCACACACTCCATGACGCTCTCCTGGTCCCCGCCCATACGCCTTAATCCGGTGAACTACAAGATTAGCTTTGATGCGATGAAGGTGTTTGTGGACTCGCAGGGTTTCTCCCAGACGCAAACGGTGCAGAAGCGTGAGATTATACTGAAGCACTTTGTGAAGACGCACACGATCAACGAACTGAGTCCATTTACCACGTACAATGTAAATGTGAGCGCGATACCTTCGGATTATTCCTACAGGCCGCCAACGAAGATAACAGTGACCACACAAATGGCAGCGCCACAGCCCATGGTCAAGCCAGATTTCTATGGTGTGGTGAATGGCGAGGAAATATTGGTCATATTGCCACAGGCATCCGAAGAGTATGGCCCCATCTCGCACTACTATCTGGTTGTGGTGCCCGAGGACAAATCGAATCTACACAAGAATCCCGATCAGTTCCTCACAGATGACCTGCTGCCCGGACGCAATAAACCGGAGCGTCCCAATGCACCGTACATAGCTGCCAAATTTCCACAGCGCTCTATACCCTTTACCTTCCACCTTGGCTCGGGAGATGACTATCACAACTTTACCAATCGCAAACTGGAACGCGAGAAACGCTATCGGATATTTGTACGCGCCGTGGTGGATACGCCGCAAAAGCATCTGTATACGTCCAGTCCCTTCTCTGAGTTCCTGTCGCTGGATATGCGCGAGGCGCCGCCCGGCGAACGACCACATCGTCCGGATCCTAACTGGCCCTCCGAGCCGGAGGTTTCGGTTAATCGCAATAAGGATGAGCCGGAGATACTCTGGGTAGTGCTGCCTTTAATAGCCGCCTTTGTTGTCTCCACCACGCTTATTGTACTCTATGTGGTTAGGCGTCGCCGCCAGCCCTGCAAGACGCCCGACCAGGCGGCAGTTACGCGTCCACTGATGGCCGCTGATTTGGGCGCCGGTCCAACGCCCAGTGATCCCGTGGACATGCGCCGACTGAACTTCCAAACGCCCGGCATGATCTCACACCCGCCCATACCCATCTCCGAGTTTGCCAATCACATTGAAAGACTCAAGTCCAATGACAATCAAAAGTTCTCGCAAGAGTACGAGAGCATCGAGCCCGGCCAGCAGTTCACCTGGGACAACTCCAACTACGAGCACAACAAGTCCAAGAATCGCTATGCCAATGTCACAGCCTACGATCATTCTCGCGTCCAGCTGCCCGCACAGGAGAACGTCCTCGGTTCAGACTATATCAATGCCAACTATTGTGATGGCTATCGCAAGCATAATGCGTATGTGGCCACACAGGGACCGCTGCAGGAGACCTTTGCAGACTTCTGGCGCATGTGCTGGGAGCTGAAGACTGCGACCATTGTGATGATGACCCGTTTAGAGGAGCGCACGCGCATCAAATGCGATCAGTATTGGCCCACGCGCGGCACTGAGACTTACGGTCAGATATTTGTGACCATCACCGAAACCCAGGAGCTGGCCACCTACAGCATACGCACGTTCCAGCTGTGCCGTCAGGGCTTTAACGATCGCCGCGAGATCAAGCAGCTACAGTTTACGGCCTGGCCGGATCACGGTGTGCCCGATCATCCAGCTCCGTTCTTACAGTTCCTGCGTCGCTGTCGCGCCTTGACGCCACCCGAGTCTGGACCAGTTGTGGTGCATTGTTCGGCAGGCGTGGGTCGAACTGGCTGCTATATAGTAATAGACTCGATGCTGGAGCGTATGAAGCACGAGAAGATAATTGACATCTACGGCCATGTGACGTGCCTGCGCGCTCAGCGCAACTATATGGTGCAAACAGAGGATCAGTACATCTTCATACACGATGCCATACTGGAGGCCATCATCTGTGGTCTGACCGAGGTCGCTGCACGCAATCTGCATACCCATTTGCAGAAGCTGCTCACCACCGAGCCGGGCGAGAGCATTTCGGGCATGGAGGTGGAATTCAAGAAGCTCTCGAATGTTAAAATGGACTCCTCCAAGTTTGTTACCGCTAATTTGGCCTGCAACAAGCACAAGAATCGCCTGGTGCACATCCTGCCCTATGAGTCGAGTCGCGTCTATTTAACGCCCATTCATGGCATCGAGGGCAGTGACTATGTCAATGCTAGTTTCATTGATGGCTATCGCTATCGTTCAGCCTATATTGCGGCTCAGGGACCTGTGCAGGATACTGCTGAGGACTTTTGGCGCATGCTCTGGGAGCACAACTCCACCATAGTTGTTATGTTGACCAAACTCAAGGAAATGGGCAGGGTAAGCTGACATATTCTCCTTCATTCGGTATCCTCTTTCAAGTATTTACTCTCACTCTTTCTCTGTCTTTTGCAGGAGAAGTGCTTCCAATATTGGCCCCACGAGCGTTCCGTGCGCTATCAGTATTATGTTGTGGATCCCATCGCCGAGTACAATATGCCACAGTACAAGCTCCGCGAGTTTAAGGTAGGGTAAATCACATTCCACGTTATCCATGCTTTGCTAATTATTCGCTTCCAACTATGCAGGTAACCGATGCTCGTGATGGCTCATCGCGCACGGTGCGCCAGTTTCAGTTTATCGACTGGCCCGAGCAGGGCGTACCCAAGTCTGGTGAGGGCTTCATTGATTTTATTGGGCAGGTGCACAAGACCAAGGAGCAGTTTGGCCAGGATGGGCCCATAACGGTGCATTGTTCGGCAGGAGTGGGACGCACAGGTGTTTTTATCACGCTCAGCATTGTCCTGGAACGCATGCAATACGAGGGGGTGCTGGATGTGTTTCAAACGGTGCGCATATTGCGCTCCCAGCGACCGGCCATGGTGCAGACGGAGGTGAGCTGACCCCGAAGAAAGTCTTTTCGACTCATTCGGCTTTGCCCCAAATCCGTGGAAAAATTTCTTTATTATTTCAGAGAAAATAATTAGAAATTTTTTTCTTTGACAGGATCAATATCATTTTTGTTATCGCGCTGCTTTGGAGTATTTGGGCTCATTCGACAACTATGCAAACTGAAGGAGTTGAGCAGGAAAAGGAGGAGGAGGAGCAGAAGTTGGAGTCCGGGCTACAGAGCAAAAACGTTGTCAACTTTAAGTTCATGTTAAATGTTGCATGTTCGTTTTCAACTGTACGCATAAAACGCATTTATGATATACACGGATACCTTAACTTTAAAGTATTATAGCCAGATACTGCCCACAATACTTACTTATACTCTATAGTATATTGTATACAACAATTTGTATAATTCAAATTTTAAGCAACCACTTAATTCTGTCCCTATTTTGATCAGTTACTCTTGTTTTACCCCTCAGTCTTTTGCTACGTTTGTTTTCGTATAATGTAAACTCAAAAAGACTGTTACAAGTTTAATTATCAGTAATTTATACTTAAATGCATATATCCCTATATGTACATATGTATGCATATATATATGTGCATACAGTTTTTGCTCGAACTAATCAAAGTAGTCAATCAACTTGTTGTGGTGCGGCGGCGCCTCCATAAAAGCGACCACCCACTGGTAAACCTATACATATTTGAACTAAGGACTTGGTAGCTTTTAAAACTTACCGCCTAAACGAATCTCGAGAAAAGCATAAGTTAAAGTCAACTAGTTGTCAGAAGCATGGAGTTCAAATCCCCATTTATCATAACATTCTAGACTATATGTGCATGCATTTGTGTGTGTACAACAATCAATCAAATATGTTTAATATGTTTTTATACTTGACATACTTAAAAAGTCCGCTTAGGCTCTATATATATAAAAGCAAATATATATATATAACGCAAAAGCAAATGTAAACCGTGCAATTAGTCAAAAGTCTTGCGTAGTGTATATCTTATAAGGCAGCTAGTTTTAATTAGTTTATAGATTAAGTTCAGTTATCAGGCATGTTTTATATTCTATTACATTCCCCAAATATGCTTACATCAGCTGTCCAGATATGTAAAACTCTAGGTCTTTGTACTTTATTAAGTAAGTCATTTTATTCTACCAGCTTTCTCATTCCTGCCCAAGCATAATTCTAAGTTAACCATTTTTAATTTGTTTTATAATTACATTCCTGTATATACCACAAAGCCCTACAGCTATACGAGTAAATAGGATCCTACAACTAGAAAATTATGGTACCTAAAGTGTATGAAAAAGACAGCATAGATAATAAACCCAGCAGATAAAGAAACGAGTAATAAGATAACTGTAGATATGTATTGTAGAATACTAATACTTATATGTTACGTCTATACTATTATAAAAGGCACCCATTTATACCTATAAAGCTACACTACAATATGGCATTATGAACATAGAATTATTATAATGTACATACATATTTGATATGCAGTTCTATGGGGCGATAGTATTTATAAACGATGTTAGCAAGCAAATGCATAAAAGCAAATAATATTAAATTGAATAATAATTATTAGCCGAACACATGTTAAACAACAATTGTAATACGTATGTACACTACAGATATTAACGCATTGTGCATAATGCATTATAGATATAAAACACATACACACACTGACAGACACACATATATACACACCCACACACCCACACACACACACACACACACATATGTATCTGTTATAACAAGTTTAGCGCGTTGCCCACTAAAGAAGGAATTAAAAGAATTGGAGTTAGAACCTAGTAAATTGACAAGTTGGCTCAATGCCATCATCAAACAATGTATTGGGGCATATTTGGAAAGTATATATAATAATGAAAAATTGAACAAATAAAGATTATAGCGTTTACAATTACGATTAGCAACAATAAATGTCTAATAGATAATGGTAATCACCGCAGCGTTGCAAGCATATTTAGCATCCTTCTATACAAATAAATTACAAATCTATATTGTATATTACAACAAAAAATTGGTCGGCTTGTCAAATTTTGTTAAAACTATATGAAATTGTTTAATATATATATATATATATGTGCATACATACATATATTTTACCGTTTAGTCAGATTTAAAACAAATTTTAATGATACACACAGAAGGCCCTAAAAATTAATCAAGCTAGATACGAGCGATTGTATTTCATACACATAATTGTTTAAGTAAGAAACATATTACGTTAAACATTATCATACGACTAAATGTATCAGATATATATATATATAAATATATATATATATACCGATAAACCAATGAACATGAATATTAAAAGACGAAATAAAATACATATTATGGAAAAGAAAACCCCAACTCGTGTCAAATTTTCATTTGGACAAAAAAAAAGTGTTAAATGTTGTGTTCAATCGATTATTTTTATGGCGCATAATTTGTTACACTTTAACAAACTAATATAAAAAAAAAATATGTTTTTAATACATAGACTTTCGACCAACGGCAAAAAGCCGTAATTGTTGTTCTGCTCCGTATATCTTGTTAAAAAACAAAGTGCTGGATAGAAAAACCAATTTTCAATCAATTATTTCTATGGGATGTCCATCATCATACAAGATTTGAATCCTCCAACATTCATAAGGCATCCATATGCCATTTTGATAAGTTTGTTCATACAGGAATTTATAATGCTAACTATGATATGTAGGAGGTTTAGATGGTTAATCCAACCTACTCAGAAATATGTCCTATTTGCAGCAAGTTTCATCAATATTGTAATAAAGATGAAGCATTTACTTAGAAGCAGACAGATGGAAAGATAGACAAGCGGACGAACATGGCTATGTCCAGTTGCATGGCGTAGAATATGAATACATTGTTTTGGAAAAGTTTGCTTCACATTTTATAATGTGATAAAATTTTAATACCCTCATCTAGGGTACATCAAAAATATGGTTGGACTTACCCATCCAAAAGTTACAACGTTCATAACAAATAGGTAAAATAAAGATAAACCAATGTATGTAAAGAATGCGTAGCTTGTTAGCTAGACTCGGAAGCAACAGATGATTCTTTGGAGGCCTGATTAATCTCAGACATAATGTTCAAAGGATCCTCACTACGTAAGTAACCATTATGCTCGGGATGCGATTCGAAAACGACTTCGCCTCGTATCACACGAACTCGGGGACCGTGTGCACGTGCCGTAAACTTGACCTTGCCGCACGTATCTGGTCGTAGACGACGATGTGCGCGCAATCCACTGACCACCACGAAATTCTTGTCACAACCATAGCACTTGTAACGTTTCATGCCAATGTGACGCGACAGATGGGAGATGAGCGTCTCGCGATGTGTAAAATCAAGCGAGCAAACCTGTAAATCGATGGTATTTAAATAAGATTGGAAGCTTATTAAGAGAGCACACTTACCTTGCATTTGAATGGTTTTTCACCTGTGTGCCGACGCTGATGGACGCGCACCTGGCCGGGTGTACGAAAACGCTTGTCACAGTAGTTGCATTTATGCGGCAGCTCCCCAGTGTGGATCATTTTGTGGATACGCAGGGCACCCACAGTGGTAAAGCATTTGGAACAATCCTCGCACTGATACTGAGCAGGACGAACAATTGGAGCTGGTCGTGTTGACTTAGCAGGAGCTGAGGCGGGTGGCGTTGACGAAAGAGCTGCAGGCGCTACAGGTGCTACAGGAGTTGGCTTTGCAGAAGAAAGAGAAACGGCTTCCACAGGAGCTACTTCTGCTGCTTCAACTAAAGAATCTTGAGCTGTTGCTGTAGACGCTTCTGAAGCTCGCTCAGTCGAAGCTGCAGTTGGCTCTGCAGCACCGGGAATCACAGGAGCTTCCGAAGCTGTAGTGGGCGCAGCTGGCGCCGTCTCTATTGGACTTGTGGCTGGAGCCATTTTGGATAAATTCAATTCTGAAAATATACAAAAACATTGTTAGATAATAGAAGAGCAAAAATATCATCTGTTTTCAGTCTGGCAAAAATTTAAATATCCTCGCAGACGACGTTTATGAGCACGTTTAATACTCACTCTTGTAAGTCTTGACCTCCACTTTTATATGCTCGAACTCTGCTTCCGCAATGCCGTGCACTTGGGTCATGTGGTTACAGAATGGTACATACTGTTCGTAGCAGCGCGCACATTTTGGACACTCCCAGTGAAAACGATGATTGGGATACGTATAGCGCAATTGACGCACTTTCACATTGCTCGATTTGGTGGGAGCCAGCCGAAGCACCTCCAGCTGCGATGGCAACACTAAATTGTTGTTTCTCTTGGGCGTTTGCAATACGCTGCCGGGCAGTGGCAATGTCTGCTCTATGCTGCGTATTTGATTTTGGAATTCTGTGATGATCTTACGAGATTCGGGCAAGCTCTCGAATAAGCTTAAGGCATTAAAGTAAGCATTGCGATTTATGGCCGCCTTTTGTGTGCCTTCTGCTTGTGGCGTACTGGGTGCAGTTGGGCTTGGAACTGTGGCGACCGAATGGTTCTTGGAACCAGCGGAAACTGAGCTTATGGACATGGCACTAGGCAGTGTAATAATCTTGCTGCCAATGGTGCAGCTATTCGTATTGACGCTCGTCGGGCTTGGCGCTATTTTAACAATCTTGGTGTTTGGTGGCAATTTGATTAGCATGCAATTGCTGGGCAAAACCTTTAAGATGTTGGCTGCAATATTTGGCTTGTTTTTCAACGATTGCAAGACGTTCTTTTTCAAAATATTTTTCTGCTGATTATTGCCTTTGTTAGGCTTCAAAATGTTTGGCAGCTTTACGGATGCATTAGTGTTAGGTATTGGTATAGGCTTCCATTTGCCTGCGGGCACAACTGCAAAAATAAAGAATGTACATAAATAAAATATTCAGTCGAATAAAATACCTGCCTAATGCTCTTTTCTCAGTTTATAGTTTTCTTGATAATGAGAACCTTCAAATTGTGAATTTTTAATCTATGAACCTTTAAAATAGGTCATCAGTAATTTGCCTGCTTCAATTGGTGTCCAGCTTTCTATACCAGCCATATATGGAGCATATATGAGGAACGAAGTCGCTTCAATCGACACACAGACGTACAGACAATAGTCTATAGTTCAATATACTAGATGAACATTTACAGACAACTAGATGGACATTGCATGAGTTCAATATGCTATACTTATATAGAGTCAAGATCAACCTACACTGTATTGATGGGGGTGCAGCCGTTGGTGTTTCAGCGCTCGTTACAGTTTCAACTTTTATTGGTTTCTGTATAGCAGGCAAACGCAATTTGCCGCGCAGTTGTCCTGCAAGGCTGTTGTTCATCCAGTTGGCATCCTGGCCAGAGCTCAACTCATCTGCTTCGAACTCTGGCTCTGTTTTGATAACAATATCCGCCATTTCCTGCTCATGCTCCGTTTCCGGCTGTTGCTCTTCGGCTTCCAGGGGCTCCGTTTTAATTTCCACATCACACGCCAGATCCTCAGGCAATTTGGCGTCGAGCTTGCTGACCGCCACCAATTGGCCTACATTGCCATGTATATCAGCATATTCGACCTGACCGCACAGCTCCTTGCTGTGCTGCCGATGTAGCTGCAATCCCTGGCGCGTCTCAAAGTGCCGGCGACATACCGCGCAGACAAAACGGCGCACATAAAAGTGGCTGCTCATGTGCTTGGCCAGACCGGCGGCATCGCTACAATTCAACTCACAAATCTGTATAACGAAAAAGAAGAAACATCCGTTAGATTATTGAAAATATTTATAATTGTATGCATAAATTAATCGGCTTAGAGTTGCCAATTTTCTAATATCTTAAAATCAAAAAAATTGCATATAAAAAAGTATATATGACAAAATTGTGATTCACTATCTTAGGGTATAAAAACTAGTAAAAACTAACAATGGGCACACTGTGCTCAGAACCCCGGTAGTGACATCTCTCTCGCACTTACCCTACAGCTTGATCCATTTACACCGCCCGCATGCTTGCGAAATTCGTGCTCCAGAATCTCTTCAAGCGTGTTGCACCAGACGCCGCATCCATAGCAGCAGAAATGTCGATTTAGCTGATGGTTTATCTGATGCGAGGCCAGCGCCAGATGATTTTCACACGTAAAGCTGCAAATTTTGCATGAAAATGCATCGAAAGTGTCAGCCGGGGCAATATTTTCACAAGGTGACGTCACAAATAACTGTAAGGCACAGAATCACACTGTCACACTCAAAGATATGTTTGCATGTATGTGTGCTGAGATTATGTGCTACCTTTTGCTGCTGATCGAACGTGCCGAGGCTCGCTATGAATTTAAGCTCATCCTCGGATTTGCAGTCATGTACCGGCACCGTTATCATATTTGGCCGCTCTTCGATGATTTTCATAAAGCTGCCCCCTGAAAAAACAGCAATCATTTTACAGATAAATTGAAACAAAGCTAACGGTATAGTGCGTAGTAAAAATAGACGCAACACATGCAAACCCACAGCCATGCGCACGCACACAAGCACATACGCACACATAGGTACACAAAGGCACATTGTCAAAGCAAAGGCACTCATATTTACCGCACGTCATATCTAAATGCGGCGCATCCTCATCCAACTCCAACTTTATTTTTGTATCATCAATATCAAGTTCTTCCTTTTTTATTACAATTTCCTCGTGCATCGCTTGTTGGCGTAAAAAAAAGTGCGCAAAATAAATTACCGCTGCGATCAGTAGATGCTATCGACTTATGTCCGAAAATGTATCGAATACAACCTTTGCCGCATCGGCGATATATCGTTAAACCTCAGCTACGATAGCTACATATCGATAGATTTTCATGTGCGGAGCACGAAAACAATAGTCGATATAGTGTACACTGAACTGTAACAGAACAAGAGATACTGCTATAAAAAACAATAAGCAAACAAATTGTGTTTGCTTTAAGATTAAAATTGTTGATTGGCTGAAGTCTTTGTCATTTAATTATTTTAAACGAGGCAGCCAACAACAAATTTAACAAAGGAACGACTTATAAACAACTAATGTCTTAATTGTAAGAATAATTTTATGCTGACATTCTGCGAGCGCGTAAACAAAACAAAATAAGAAAAATGAGCAACAGCGAGGATTCACAGCAATATCTCACTGATATGTTAGTCAAAGAGGAGGACGAGGCGTCGGGTGGTAAGCAATTAATCAATACAATATACATAGGTGCTTATAGACATAATTGCTTTGCAGACGAATCGGACCGACAGGACGGACATGGCAGCATGCTGCGCGAACAGGATCGATTTTTGCCCATTTGCAACATCATTAAGATAATGAAGGTGCCCGTGCCGCAGAATGGCAAAATAGCCAAAGACGCCAGAGAGTGTATACAGGAGTGCGTCTCAGAGTTCATATCATTTATCAGCAGCGAGGCCATCGAGCGCAGCGTCGCCGAGAACCGGAAAACAGTTAACGGGGATGATCTGCTGGTGGCCTTCAGCAATCTGGGCTTCGACAACTATGTAGAGCCCCTCTCCATTTACTTGCAAAAATATCGCGAGGTGAGGTGGTGTCTTAAATTAACTCTCTTAATTGTGACAATTTCGACTTACCTAGTTTTCTTTCCCGCTGCACAGTCAAACAAATCGGACCGAAATTTATTTCTGGAGGGCAGCTATATGCAAACTGACGACGCTAACGAGTCGGGCAAGCATTAGCTATCTATTATGGGGGCTTATTATTTAAGTTTTTGGTACTCTTGCAGAGGCTATTATAATCTCGAAAGAATTGTACACATTTCCATTATTGTATTAATAACATAGCCATGTCCGTCTGAATGTTTCTATACAAACTAGTCTCTGTTTAAAGCTATCCCTTTGAAACTTTAGTAGGGTCTTATTTTTTTTTTTTGCAGGCAATGTGTCTCTGGCCGGAATTGGACCACTATAGCTTATGGATGGGAGCTATCGTACAGAAGTAAATCTTAAGAAGAAAACCGTTTGATTTTTCAATCCTAAAAACGCAACTAGACGTCTGCAAGTGTATTTAGTCTTCGGCATACCGAAGTCTATTCTTTTTTTTTTTTAATTTATGAATTATATATACATATATATATATATATATAGTCAAGGTTTTACTTTTATGGCAAGTAGCTTAGTAATCTAATAGTTTCATTTAATATGTATATTTTATAAGACACCAAGTACTTTTGTATATTCTACAGGTTTACATATTTGTATATGCTTACTGATATTAAAAGGAGTATGATGAATTGTATTGTGTTGTAACTGTGCGAGTGTTTAAAATCATGACATTCTTAAGGATACAGTTGAGTTGTAGCTACGAGAAGAGGATTAGTACCTCTAGCTTAGCTAAATGCTTGCAGATTTCTTAAGTACTTGTTCGATACTAACATTTGGTATTTGAAGATAAGGATGATTCTTGATATCCCAAAACCTAAGAGAACAAATGTTTTATTCCCTAGCCCGTCGACAGGAATCACGCTATCGATGTGCTGATATATGGACTTTCTTAGCTCCTTGGGGCAAAACGAAGAGGAAATATGCCAAAAAATAATATGTATTTGTTATTTTAATTAAAAAACAAAGTTAAAGTTGCCACACAATTTAAAAATGAACTAAAGCAGCAGCTAAACAAGGAACATTCCGTGTATAAAAGTTAAATAAGGCTATAAGGATTGAAAAATCACTGGACTACCACATAGACTACATACTACATATACATATACATTTATGTATATATTATGTATATGTATATATTATATTAGCTACTCAGTTATGTTTAGTATGTGGAGGGGAGGGTTCTACCTAACAATAGCGTAGACGTGATGCTTAGTTTCATAAATACAATTATAAGAGATACTTACGTATTAAATATTATAAATTATTTGTGACTAACTCTAGGCTAAAATGATGTGGCTTATAAACATGGGGATAGTACTCCAAACTAACACATTATCAAATGACACGGTATACTTTCGCTTTGACTGTTACAGCATTAGATCCTCACACTCTATAGGCTCATCCTTGACGCGCAGCAGCTGGCTGCTCTCTATGACGGATTCGTTGAGGAATATATTGCTGTCGTTGTGCTTTAAATGCAGCGTGGGCATGGCGTCCGGCAACAGATGGCCCGGCTTAATGAAGCAATAGCTCTCAAAGTGCTTGCAGCAAATGTGCTTCGAATTGTCCCACTTGGCGATGTGTTCGATTTTCAAATTGTAGCACCATTTGACTCGCTGATTGCGATGCTCAGGAAAGTCCTGCAGGGGTAGCTGTACATCCTCCACACCGCAAATGAGACAGCTCATCGCTTTGGTGGGCAGGTGCACGGCACAAATGTACTTGCCGGCGTGGCGCTGCTCATCCCTCAAATTAAGCGCCTGACACCACTGATGCAGCAGCTGGGGATCTGTGCGCAAAGTTGAACAGAGATTAGACAAAGCAATGTCTTGGTGGGGTTTAATATTTACCGCTGGGAAACTTGTGCAGCTTGACATGTCCATCTGGTTGGCAATCCTTAATGCAGCAGCGTGGACCTGTCGCTGGCGGCTCGGATTCCTCGTTGTTCGGTGCCAGATTGCGCGTGGGTACCGCATTGGACATAAGACGACGCACACCAATAAGTTGCGGATCAAAGTGACGACTGCAGATGAGTTTTGTGTTGCGCTGCGACTCATAGAAGCGCATGCCCGTCGCCTGCTCCCATTTGCGTATGGCGCTAATATTGTTTGGCAGCCGGAAAAGCTTGATGCCATCGCCGCGTGGACGACGGCAATAGGGCAAACAGCATTGCTTGATTTTCCAGGGTGGCAGCTGACCCGCCGGCTGTGGATCGCAGCGTGAGCGATACTCCCGCTTGATGTGTGGCTCAGCCGGAAATTGCTCGGCATTATCATTATCATCATACTCATCGTCGCACTCCTCCAGTATGGTGTCATCCAGCTCCGCATCATAGTCCTCGCCCTCACTGCCCGCTTCCGCGTCGCTGTTGCGCTGCTGCATAAACTGCTGTTGGCTTTGCTCGTTCCTGTACAGATCTTGCGGAACATTGTCGCCCAGCTCCAGTGTGGGTACCGCCCATGGACGCAGCTTACGCAGGCGTATGCAGTGCGGCTCAAAGTGTACACTACATATCATTGTCTTCCAAGGTCGCCGCTCGTCATATCTGATACGTAAATTATGCATCCAGCGATGCTGTAGCTGCCGCGAGCGTGGGAATTTATAGATGTGAACGCCATGCTGTGAACGCTGGCGCTGGCAGTGCACCAGCGAGCACTTGTCATAGCCAGACTTGACGGGATTATAGATTGTGTCCTCTTCCTGCTTAATGCTGGGCAGGCGTAGCTGTAGCTGCAGTTGCTGCTGCGAATCTCTCCAACTACTATTGGTGTAGTTAAACTGATTGTCTTCCTGCTCGTCGTCGCCCTCGAGCAGTTGCAACTCTGGTACGAGCATGCTCAGATCCTCTTGCTCCTGATCATACTGCTCTTGATCATCATCCACTTGCTCCTGCTTCACTGGCAAGCTCTGGTCGGCACTGCGCTTTTCCTTATCCAGGCGCAAACTAAGCGCCGCAAAGTCATTGCCAAAAAGCTGCTTGGGCGCCCGGGCGCCAAGTTTCAGTGTGGGCACGCTGCCATGCATCAGTCGCATGTTTCCCAGGCACATGGGCTCGAAGTGTGCGCTGCAGATACGATATCGCCAGCGGTACTCCGGATCGAACGGCACCTGTGTATTGTGCTGCCACTTGGCGCACATGTCCGCCGAGTGTGGAAACTTGTGCAGCGTAAGATTTTCGCTGGTCAAATGATTCGAGCAGCCATCGATCTGACAGAACTTGCTGGACTTGCGCGGTGGTGCGGGGCAGGGCAAATGGAGATTTATATTCAGCTCTGTCGCATCATCGTGCGGTTCGGTGGGCACTACAGCGTCTGCCGACGCATCAGCCGACTGATCCACACTCGTCTGCTCTGGCTGCACATTGAACTCATTGTCATAGATATCCCCTAGGCGGCGCGATCCCAGACGCAGCGTGGGCATTGCCCCACGCCTGATACGCGAGCCATTAAAGCACTCGGGTAGAAAATGCAAACTGCAGATGCGAAAACGCCACGCAAAGTTGATGTCCACATTTACCTGGGTGTTGTGCATCCATTTCTCCATGGCATCCAGCGATGTGGGAAACTTGTGTAGCTTGAGACTGTCATTAACATCCAGCGAGGTCACATCGCAACCCCGCACGCTGCAGTGGCGCGCGCTGTAGGTGAGTCCGTTGCCGACAATACAGGCACTGCCCACTGTTGTGGTTGGGCCCAGTGAATTATGTGACAGGGTATCGGCATAGCTTATAATTGGTTTTGTGTCCATTTGCTCGTACGTGGTGCACTTCTCAACGTGACCCACTTCGAGCAGCACCTCTAGCGCTTGCTGCTGATCATTGGCCTCGTACTCCTCCTCCTCATACAGCTGTTCTGACTGTGGCTTCGGTTCCAGCTTGACAATAGAGTGCAGCTCTTGCTTGACAATTGGCTCCGGCTCCAGCTTGACCGCGGGCTCTAACAACTGCACTGCCTCGCAGCTGCCTATCTGCTCATTCATGCGCTGCCACTCCTCCTCCGAAGGATTCTGATGCAACGCTGGCGCTTCTGGGTCACGTTCCGGCAACTCCAACGTCGGCATGCTCCAGGGTTTTAGGCGGCGAGTGGTCTCTGTTACGCAGATGGCCTCAAAATGTCTGCTGCATACCTTATACATATAACGCTGCTGCTCGTAGAACACAAGCTGCATGTTATCTAACCACATCTGGAGTACATCCCGACGCGTAGGCATGGCGTGCAGGCGGTAGTCGTCACGTGGTTTGAGTGTCCTGCAGCCACGCACCGCACAGCTGATAATTCGTATGCGCACGCTATTTCGCGCAGCCTCGTAATTGGCGTCCAGCAACTGCTCCTCTGATGAATGCTCTGGAAAATGGTTGACACTGTGTTCATAGAGCATGATCAAGTGCAGTGGGCAGAGCTTGAGCGGTTCCTGAGTATGCTGCTCCAGACCCAGATACGACATCCACAAATTACGCAATGCCTCCTGCTGTGGCAGCTCATATGCGATTCTTTGATAGGTCTTCTGAAGTTCCATACACTGTGGATAGCAGCAGTCGTAGCCCATGGCTATTCGTTTGCCTTTAAGCTGCGATTGCGGCAGCTCCGCGCTTTGATGTATACTGTCTAACTCATCGTGGCCCAGCTGCAGCGTGGGCACCGAGCCTAAGTGTAGACGGCCATTCTCTATGCAGCTGGGCTCGAAATGTGCGCTGCATATCCGCATGCCTTGCAACTGCTCTCTGCTCGGCTCGAGGCGGAAATTTTGTAGCCATTTCTCCAAGACCCCTCTAATCCTGGGCAGTCCGAATAGCTCCACATTATCCACATCCTTGGAGCGACCACAGCTGGGCACAAAGCATATATTCACATCCTCCTCCCATTTTGCCGGATTGGGCAACAAATCCAACTCATCATCGTGACCCAAATGAAGTGTAGGTCGTGCACCCGGACGCAGCTTGTACGCACTGAAACAGTGCGCCTCGAAGTGGCGTTCACACACGTGCACCTCCTGGCCGCTAATTGACGCAGCATCGATGCGCAGATTGTAACACCAGTCCTCCAGCTGAGAGGCACGTTTGGGCACTTTGAAAAAACGACAACGCGCTGCATCCTTCTCCCTAACGCAGCCATTGACCAAGCAGCGCAACTCATTGACTGGCCGGCTCAGCTCCAGTGTGGGCACCGCGTCTTCCTTCAGCTCCCCGGTATCAGGGTCAAAGCAGTCTGATGTAAAATGTGACTGGCAGACCTGAAAGAGATGAGGTTTGAGAAAATTAGCATCGAAACTGGTTTATCAACTCGGAGTGGACTCCTTTACATGACAATGTCTCTGCGCTCACCTGAAATCCATCGCTGCTGGCCTGCATGGAGCGATGCTTGCAGTTGGCTGCCCACCTGCGTATGGTGGGCCGATCTGTGGGATAGGCATAGAGACGAACCAGATCGCTGCGCTGTTGGAAGCAGGTGAGCACCGAGCAGTAATTGGCCCAGATATACTGCAGCGCCTGCTTATTTTCCTGGCTATCTGCAATATTGCCATTGTGCTTGGCATTCGGTATGATGTGGCCCTGATGGCCCAGATTTAGGGTAGGCACTGCCCAACTTTGCAGCTGCTTCTTGCAAATCGCCTCCGCTGCGAAGTGACGCTG